CCTCTGAGTCGGTTCCAATTCCAAATCCCTCTTCAAACCCTAATTCCTTTCCTTATACCTCTCTCACGATCCAAAACATTGGCAGCGTGGTGCCAATCAAGCTCAAGCGGTCCAATTATCTCCCATGGTGCGCTCTGTTTGCCCCAATTCTTAAGCATTATCGACTTCTTGGTATCGTTGATGGCACCGAACCTTGTCCACCACCACTTATGCTCGATCGCACTCTGAATCCGGCGTTCGAAATTTGGTATGAGAAAGATCAAAACCTCATGATCTGGTTCAATTCCACATTGTCTGAGGAGGTGATTTCGTTCACCGTTGGTGTTTCGTCATCTCGTGATCTCTGGCTTTAACTCGAGCAACGATTTGGGGGCATTTCTGATGCACATGTTCATCAGCTTCGATCGCGACTTCAAAGCATTCAAAAAGGTTCACAATCCATGTCTGATTACCTGTAAGAGCTCAAAGAGATCTCTGACTCTCTCATTGCTGCTGGAGCCCCAATCTCTGATCGAGATCTCATTGCAGCCACTCTTGCTGGTCTTCCTGATGATTTTGAGTCCTTCACTGATTCAATCATTCTTCGCTTATCCTCCACATCTTTGGATAAATTGCATGGATTCTTACTCACCAAAGAACTCTCTATGATTCGTCGCAAGAAAGCTACCTCATCCAATAATACTAAACTGTTTCATGCTTTATCGGTCCAAACTTAGCCACCGTTACTTCCCACACCGCCTCAGGCGTATGTCATTCAGAATCAACCACTGCAGCAATCTTTTCGGTATAATTCGAATCGTGGAAAGAACAATCGCTTCTCCAATAATCGTGGTAATCGAGGAAATTATCGAGGCAACAATTTCAACAATAGCTTCAATCGCACCAATACCGTAGCTCACTCTCGAGGCTCTTCTTCTGGTCCTCGAGCTCCTTGTCAAATCTGTGGAAATTCAAGTCATGAAGCCATTGATTGCTTTGACCATATGAATTTGGAGATCTCTGGTCGAATTCCTCCTGCCAAGCTCTAAGCGATGTGTGCTCGTTACAATGCCAAGTCCTCTCCTCCTTGGTTGATTGACTCTGGAGCTACCTCCCACATCACCAATGACATATCCAATATTCACTCTTCTACTCCCTACCATGGTGAAGAAAAAGTATACATAGGTGATGGTAAAGGTTTGTCCATTTCTCATGTTGGTTCCTCTACATTCCGTACACCTGCTACTTCCTTTAAACTGAACAATGTCCTTCATGTACCTCACATGAAGCACAATCTGTTGTCTGCTTTTCAATTTCTCCGAGACAATTATTGTTCATCAACCCTTGATTCTAATAGATCCGTTGTTAAAGATCATTCTACGGTGAAGATGCTTTTGCGGGGTTCAATTAAAGACGGTTTCTATCCTCTGCAGTCCTCTACATCTAATCGTTCTTTCTCTGGTAATGTTCCTCCTTCACTCATTGCATCAGCTTTCGTCAGTATTAAAGCTCCAGTCAAGATATGGCATAGTTGTTTGGGCCATCATTCTCCTCCTATTTTTCGCAAGGTTCTTTCTAGGAATAAACTTGCTGTGCAAGGTGCATCTTTAGTGAATTCTTCTGCTCTGATTGTGCTATAGCTAAAAACCACAAACTTCCCTTCAAAGCTGCAAGTTCCTCTGCATCCCACAGCTTGGCATTACTTCACTGTGATGTTTGGGGACCTGCTCATGTCCTTTCAGTTAGTGGTTTTCGATATTATCTGTTGATAGTAGATGATCATACTAAGTATAGCTGGTTTTTTCCATTGAAAGCAAAATATGAGGTGTATTCTACATTTGTAACCTTCAAAACATATGTAGAAAATACTGTTGGAAATAAAATCAAGGTTATTCGTTCAGATTCAGGGGGTGAATTTGTCAGTTCTTCTTTTCAAGCTTTTCTTCAATTACATGGCATTTCTCATCAACTTAGTTGCCTACATACTCCTGAGCAAAATGGTTGTGTAGAAAGGAAACACCGACATCTTGTAGAGACAGCTCCCACTCTCTTAGTTGCATCTCATGTTCCTAAAAAATATTGGGTTGAGGCTATATCTACTGCCCTATATTTGATTAATCGATTGCCTATATCTGGTCTTCTTTGTTCTCTGTGGGAATTGTTATTTCATACTTCACCAGATTATACTAGACTTAAGATCTTTGGTTGCAGCTGCTACCCTTGGTTAAAGCCCTATGTCTCTTATAAGTTGGATGGTAAAAGTAAGGAATGTGTTTTCCTTGGCTATAGTCTACAACATAAGGGCTACAGATGCTTGGATCTTCTTACAGACTGGGTCTACATATCCATGCATGTATTGTTCAATGAGAAATCCTTTCCTTTTTCACAAGATCATACTTCACAGTTCTTACCATCACCTGTTCCTGTTCCTCCCATCATTGATCTTCACTTCCCTCTTTCTTCCTCCTCACATTCCCCTACTCTTCCACCTCTTCCACTTGTTGTTCCACATGTTTCCTCACCCTCCCCTTCTCAATCTCCTGATCAATATATTGCTCATTCCTCTTCTGCAGCAGTTACTAACCATCATCCCATGGTTACTAGATCAAAAAATGGTATCTTTCGACCTAAAGCTTACTCTGCTACTAAACACCCTTTACCATTCACTCTTGATTATATTCCCACTACTTATAATCAAGCTTCCAAGCACAATGAATGGCAATTAGCTATGCAAAATGAGTTTAATGCTCTTCAAACTACTGGAACTTGGTCTCTAGTTCCTTCTTTACCTTCTTAAAATGTGGTTGGTTGCAAATGGGTATTTCAAATTAAGAAAAGGCCTGATGGTTCTGTTGAAAGATACAAGGCTCGATTAGTTGCCAAGGGCTTTCACCAACAACAAGGACTGGATTATCACCAACAACAAGGACTGGATTATCAAGAAACCTTTAGCCCTGTAGCTAAACCAGTCACTATTTGGATTCTGTTAACTGTTGCAGTTCAATATAATTGGTTTCTAAATCAGCTTGACATAAGCAATGCATTTCTTCATGGTGACTTACAAGAAGAGGTGTTTATACAACAACCTCCTAGTTTTACTGATTCTAATCTGCCAAATCATGTGTGTAAACTCAAAAAGTCTCTATATGGCCTCAAACAGGCTCCTCGGGCATGGTTTGATAAACTCTTTGAAGCTCTCAAGTCCTTTGGCTTCACTCAATCTTGTTTTGATGCATCTCTCTTTGTCATCAAAGATCTTGTTCTAGTTATAGTATGGGTTTATGTCAATGACATATTGATCAGTGGTCCTGATCCGTCAGTGTGTAAGCAGTTTATTCAGAAACTTGGGTCTCTGTTTCTAGTCAAAGACTTAGGTCCTCTTCACTATTTTATGGGGTTGGAAGTTCAAAGATCATCCAAAGGTTTATTTCTTCATCAAAGCAAATATCTTCTGGATTTACTTCAGAAAACCAAAATGGAAGGTGCCAAGCTTTGTTGTACTCCTCTTGGCACTACTAAATTGGATCACAGTGGCATTCCTCTATCAAATCCCACTGAATATAGATCCCTGGTCGGTGCCTTACAGTATTTAACTTGGACTAGGCCTGATATCTCTTTTGCTGTCAATCAAGTATGCCAATTCATGCATACTCCCACTGATCTTCATCTCCAAGCTGCCAAAAAGATTCTCCGATTCCTCAAAGGCACCTCTGATCATGGTTTATGGTTTCAGAAAAGTTTTCTTCATCTTTCTGCATTTTTTGATGCCGATTGGGCTGATTGTTTATTTGATCGACGATCAACTAGTGGCTTTTGTGTATATCTTGGAACAAACTTAATCAGCTAGAGTGCTAAGAAGCAGCCTACAGTGGCTAGATCCTCCATTGAAGCTGAATATCGATCTCTGGCACTACTGCTGCTGAAATTACATGGATCTGCAAGGTGTTTCATGATTTTGGTTTTCCCTTATCTTCAAAACCTACAATCTGGTATGATAACATATCTGCTATCTCTCTTGCCTCCAATCCTGTCTTTCATGCTCGAACAAAGCATGTTGAGATCGATTATCATTACATGCGAGAGTTGGTTCTTGCTAATCTGCTTCAAGTTCAGTATGTGTGTACTGAGGACCAAATTGCCGATATTCACACTAAATCTTTAACCAAAAACCGGTTTCTTCTTCTTCAATCCAAGCTGTCTCTTGGAACTCCAACTTCTTCCAAGCTCAGCTTGAGGGGGTGTAAAGATGAGGATGCCAAATCATGACATACATTCTGTTTTTAATTAACTAATTGTAATGTGCTATGTGTACAAGTTAGTTAGAAAGGTTATTAGTTGTTGTTGTTATGACTATAAATACCATACTCATGTAATTATTTTTGTCAAGTAATGAAATTGTAATATTTCAGAAATACATTTTCTTCTTAGTTCCTTTAAATGTGATGTAAGTGAAAGCCTGTGTTGCCTATTCTCCGTTAAACTATTTTTTTCTTTTGGTTAGAATTTTCTACTGATCTGCTCATTTCCTTGTTGTCTTATCGCCAGTCATCTACGTTCGACACATACTACTGGAAAATGCAAAACCTTGGTTTCATTAATCAGCTTAAGGAGGTAACCATAGAGCCTTTCTACGGTTCTAATGAAAATGAGTTTGCAAAGTATATTCTCGAGCATGCTGAGAACTTGAAGAAAATGGTTATTAGTTATTTGAAAGAGAAGCAATCGGATGTTGTGGCTGGAATGGTAAGCAAAAGCGACATGATTTCTTCTACAGCCAAAGTTGTCATCAGGGAAATAGTTAGTACAACTAATTTCATCAGGGAAATAGTTGTACAACAAATTAAATATATCAAATTAACCTGTGAAGAGAGTATAACCACAATAAAACATGCACATCGTTGTATGTTGCACCCAAGTCTCCTTTGTTTACAAAGCAAAACTAACCAACTTCACTTGGCTTTAAAACAAAAAATAAATAAAAAAAGTTCGATGTCACTTGCATAGTAGGATTTCTCTTTGTTGCCAAACTTGGAAAGTTGGAATTTAGATAAACATGCACCTTTGTATAGCACAATCACAATTATCACTAATACAATTATTTGGATTCAGATAACATAAAGATGAACCATACACAACCAAACTAAAGTTTCTATTCCTAAAAACTTGTTCGAACCGAACACTTGTTCAACTTTATTTTGTTTGATAAGAAGATATTTTACACTACTATAATTGAGATGGAGATTTTGAACTAGGTCAATGGAGCGGACACAATAGTTCGACTTTTATTGACACATATGTTTAATTATGGGCAGCTCAAATGTTTAATGGTTTCAAAGGCGAATTTGGTCGATGCTTGACTGGACATCAATCTCATCACCGCCATTAGCTTCTATGGATTGTTTGTAGGTCATTGCACGATATGCTGGTGGGTGACATTCATCTACAAACTCTGGTGCTGGTCCCACTAGTGCATCCAACGATGGTCCATGTAGTGTTGCCACCGAGATCCTCTGTATTTTGTTGTTGTCCACCACCACTCGATGAACATGGCTCTTGTACTTCCCATTGGTTAAGATCTGTATCAACATAATTAAAATAATACATATGAAGCTAATAATGTATTTTGTTTTAGCCGAGCAGAAATTATTTGTACAAATTGGAAGGGTCCACATAACGGACGACTTAAATAACCTTATTCGAAGAGCACCTTGTACAATTTGTTTTAATAATTCAAAACGTCTATCTTATAATTTTTTATTCAAATATAATCATTCTAAAAAGGACAATAAAAAAATTAATAAGACATACTAGTTGTTGTAAAAAAATAAAATTGACGAGAACAGTCATTTTAAGAAAACACTAATCAAGCTGTTAAGAAAAAACCTAAAGCTAGACGTCGGAACATTTAAAATGCAAAACACAGAGTGAACTGCCTCCTCTTAAATTATATTATAGACAAAAATTAAAATACAAGTACACACCACTACAAAGACAGGTAAAAGAACAAACTATTAATTTAGTGAATATACCTCAAGATGGTCACCAAGGTTTATAAAAATGGCATTATGGGGGATATTAACATTGATGCATTGACCACTATTGGATAGTATTTGCAGACCACCATTCACATCTTGTATGAGTGACACAAAGAAGCCTGGGTCAGTATGATCAGGCACACCAATTGATCCTTTTGATCTGAAATTGGGTGGGTATAGGTTCATGGCAGACATATCAAAACCAGATTCAAGCTTAAAAGCTTTTTCTACGTAGCATTCTTCAAATCCCAAGCCTTTTGACACTGCCTTTCCCAAACCTTTTACTATCTCTCGCGATGCTTTGAAATACTCTTCCAAAGCGTCACTGTTGAAATAAAAAACCGCAAAATTATATAATTTTATGAAAAAAATGTCGTACATCACAATACGAAGTACGTCAGTCAAAAATTTAAAATATATTAGTTCTTGATAAGAGAGGGAGTGCCAAACCCTATTTTCATCAAGTGTTAGCTGGGTGCTTCTATGCATATATAATTTTTTTGTTTTGTTTCCTTTTGATTTACAACAAAAGGGGATCCGATCGAACATGAGATTATTATAGTATTATTTATGCTAGTTTTGTGGCACTTTTGTTTTTGGCTTTTGTTTTAAACTATAGGTTGAAGTCTTAAACATGAAAAGAGAGAGGATATATAGAAACAATTATGTATAATGTAAAAAAAAGTTATTGAATGGCCTAGTTACACATGTTGCTTAAGAAGAGAGAATCTCATATTTTTACAAGAAATGAGAACTAGTTGCAAAACCCACTACACTTCTTGTACAACGATCGGAACTGTCTATTTTGAAAATCTTTTCTCATAAATCCTTGAAAATTCAATTCGTTTAATTACCTATTTAATTCTTATCATGAATATCCATTGCTTCCTAGAACATTATGTTCATAATTACTAGATGTCTTAACCATTTCAATTGGGATAATATTTTTGAAAGCAAAAATGTTATTCTTATCATCTCTTTATACCATTATTTGTATAATCTCTATAATAGAAATGGTACCCACATGTATTGGTGGGTCCTAACTTTTTTTTTTTTAACAATTGATATTTTCTACACTAAGGGGGAGGGGATGAGCTTAGCCTCACAATGGGCTAGCAATAATGTGGTTCAAAATTGCCTTTGGTGGACCCTAACTCTATTAGAAACTTTTTTTTAATTATTATTATTATTAAGGGGAGGGGAAGGGTTCAAAACTATTACAATAATTTAGGGGATGATAAGAGTTTTGAATCCAGGACGTAGGGGTGGAAACCCAATACCCTATCAACTAGGATATTGAACCACATGCTACCTATATTAGAAAGATAGTACAAATAAATAGTGAGTGTAACGTTACTCTTTGAAAACATAATCTATAAAGTGAAATTTGGAAACTAAACGATTGAAATTATTGAAATTTAATGCGGAGTGAATCCTATATATAATTAGTCTCCTTATTACTAAACATGGTTTGCCTCCCCTTAATTAAGAAACATATATCCCTTCATCAGTCAGTCTCCCTCGATTTTCATTTACAAATCTCTCTCTTTTTTTCTCTGGTCTTTTCGTTCTTTTTAGTTCATAAACCAAAACAACAGAAAATAAAACGTTATCAAACGCGCCATAGTTATAATACTTACGTAAATTTAAAAAAAAATATTATGTTATAATTTGCTATTTCGAATTTAACACAACTGATAAATTTACAGTAGATTGATTTATAAATATCATAACATAATAGACAAACTAAATCACCATAAATATACCTGAAACCAGCTGGTTTAGAAGGGCAGTGAAACTGGGGATGTGCAATGACCTTCAGATATTCCCTATTCTCTCCAGGAGAAGATCGCAAGCCCCATCGAATTCTATCCGTTGGGCTCTTTTTCTCGTACTGCTTTCGGTCCTCTATCTCCTCCGGGTTAAAGAAGTCAGAAATTCCTTTGAAAACACCCTCAAACACGCCGTTGGAGATGCCATGATTTACAAGCTGAAAATATGGAGCACAAAAATTTATCAGCAGTCGATAACTAATCCAATTATTAAACATGTTACATGAGAAAAAATGAAATGAAATGTGCATGGAACAAATAGTTGCGTGATAATTAACTTTAAATTAGTGTTCAAGGTTAATGCATAAAAAATTAGGAAAGCACCTCTAATATATATGGTATATACTTGCGTTAGTACTTCAGATCCAAGTATGAAAGATTTCTGACTAAAATATTTACTAGTTCTTATTTATAATCATGTTGACTTGTACTGTATATACTTTATCTATCAATATGGAAACAAAATAGGCTCTCTAATTTCATTTTTTTGAGGGGATTAAGGAAGAAAACTGAACTCCTCCTAGTTTAGAGTAATAATAGTTGCTCCTTATAATACCTAAGATATATTGGTCATGTCGTGCGGCTAAGTATATCGACAAGAACATTATTTCTTTTCTTTTTCTTAAAGCAACAATAATAGGGAAATCTGATTGAACGTACCAAAGAAAAAGGGTGAAATATATTAAGGATATAAGTTTCAATATTTGGTTTTAGCCTAAACCTTCAATATGATTGGACTTCCGAAAGCAAAAGTAATAAAGGGAGATCTGTTTCCATAAATATTAATGGGGGGGGGGGGGGTTTCTGACATTCTTAGGGCACATATAAAGCATAGACGAAAATCCTGCAACAAAAAATAAAAATAAAACAAGCATATATACGCACATAGAAAAAGCCGAAGTCCTTGCAGACATGGCCTAAGTTTTCGAGGGCTTTGGATCGTTCATCAAAATCATTAGAGAATAACATGATATAATCAATGGTGGGGATTTCATCAGCCCCAACAGCTACAACAGAATCATTAGGGTTGATGATGGAAGGTGAGTTAATGGAGGGAAGGGAGATGGCAGGGTTGGGTTGAATAGTCATATGATTAATAAGCACTGGAGCTGTCTCAGCAGCCATTTTATGTCTGCTAATTGCGTGTTGGAGAAGATAATCAAGAGAGAATATTAGTTGCTCTGAACTTGCTTAGGAAGTCAGGTGGATGAGTTTTGCATGCATTGATGCGACTATGTTACTCTCATTTATAGGGAGAATGTGGCCCCCACTTGGCTAGAAAAATGTTTCACTTAAGTATAAACTAAGGAAATTACTCATAAACTAATTCATGTTGGTTGATTAATTTTGACCAAAACCCTAGTTGATTGAAATATTATTACAACAAACCATGTTTCAGCAGTATATGTGAACACAATCTAGCTCGTTTGGTCCTTTTCTCTTCAGCTAAACGAAATAAATTTATAGAATCCAGGAAACAATGCATCCTAATTAAACAACAAACTGATTTTGCCTTGGTGCATGTGTTTGTAAAGAATCTTTGCATTATGTTCGAAGACTCCAAGTTGGTGACGTTACGACTGTTTTGTAAGCAGAATTGTTTGTTTGTGCATATTAAAAGAATCTTTAGAAACAAATTATTTATGCCAATATTTCTATTTCTTTTATTAATCTTCCGGCAGAACCGCTTGCTTGCTGGTGGCAGACAGACCAGGTTAATTACATTTACAATATAGTTTACCAAGGACCAAATTGTACAAGAGAAAACTTAGCTTAAGGTGTCTTTTGTTAGATTTGTTATAGCTGTCAATAGTTAGTTAGATGGTTAGGATCTGTTGTAAGCACAAGTGTGTGCAGCAAGCTAAGTATAAATACCCTTTGTAATTAATCTTATTATTCTTTATCAATGAAGGTATAATTTTCCTATTATAGTTTACATCTTCAGGACTCGGGAGTTATTTAGAACTACATGAATAAAAGATTAACTGGGAACGGAAAAAATTTCTTATTAAGAGTAACATTGAAGTATGTGAATAAATATTTTTTAATACAAGCGATATTACTACTCAAATTTATACTAGCTATGAGCGTGAGCATTAAGCTATATAGAATGACTCAATTTATGTATTGTATACTTTGTAAGAGAGAAAAGAGTTTCCGAGAGAAAGGAAGAAGAGGGAAGAACAATTCTTTGATTCTATTTCTTAATGAAGAAGTAATACAAGATGTTAGACTTAATAGTCTTGGATATTACAAGCTTATCAACTAACTAAGTCTCTAATCTGATGACAAGTGTCAATCTAAACTACCACATATATACTCTAACATCCCTCCTCAACTCATGCTTTGAAGATCCAAGCATGAGATTGCCACAATGTGTATGAAGAAAAGGAGAACTTAACCCCTTCGTAAGGATGTCTTTAAAATATAACACAAATAGAACATAAAGCTGCTTCTTGGCCAATCTCTGACAAAATTAACATCTATTTCAATATACTTGGTCCTTTGATGCTGCATTGGATTGAAAGACAAAGCAATGGTAGACAAATTATCAACAAAACAACACATGAGTATAAGGTAATGAAACCTACTGAAAAGCAAAAAGCTGCTTTATCCAAATTAATTTCTGCAGAAGTAGAAGACAAAGCCCTATCTTTAGCTTCAATTGATGACCTTGAAACTTTTACTGTTTTTTTAAGACCGGGAAATAGGATTAGAGCCTAAAAACACCACTAAACCAGTAGTGACCTTCTGTCATTGAGATCCTCTACCCAATTAGGATCACTAAAAGCTTTCAAAAGTAAATTTCCTACGGTATCAGATATGCCAAAGTAAATGGTGCCCTTCAAATACCTTAATATCCTCTTGAAAGCAGTGAAATGAGACATAATTGGATTATGCACAAACTGACAGACTTGATGCACAGAGAAAGCTATGTCTGGTCTAGTGAAAATCAAGTACTGCAATTCATTTACAATACTTCTATATAAAGCTGGATTTCCATATGGCTGACCATCATCTTTAAGAAGCATATTGTAAGGAAAGCAAGGTGTATCATAGGCTTTGGACTCAAGCATCTTAGTCTTTGTTAATAAATACTGAACATACTTAGTCTGCGATAAGAATCATCCATGTGCAGTCCGGGTATATTGACTTTCCAAAAAATAATGTAATGGACCTAAGTCCTTAATGTAAAACTCAGAAGTGAGAGCATTTATAACCTGTTGAATAGCATCAACAACACTCCCATTGATGATAATATCATCGACATATAACTAGAAAACCACAATTGCAGACTCAACTTGCTTTACAAACAGTGGGGAATCATTGTATGTATTTATGAAACCCAATTTAGGAAGAAAAAAAAGTAGTAAATTTCCCATTCTGGGGCCTAGGTGCTTGTTTCAAGCCATAGAGAGATTTGTGATGCTTACAAACTAGAGTAGGATGATTGAGATCCTCAAACCCTGGAATGTGTGTCATTTATGTTGTACTTTTATGTGCAAACGGAAGCGAATTATAACAAAGTACCAATATCAACGTCGTAGGTGAAAGCTAAAACAAACAATCTCAAACTAACACGAGACTTACGTGGTTCGGCGTAAAGCCTACTCCACGGGCGAAGCACGGCAAGGAATTTCACTAAACAAACGGAGATTACAAAAGAGTGTTTAAACTCTCACAACCCAAATTCCACAAATTACAAACCCTAAACCAAACGAGTAGAGAACCCAAACAAACGGAGAAGATTCTCCCAAATTGCTCTCTAACTCACAAACTCACAAATTGACTCTCACCAAATTGCCACACGAATGAGCCACACAAAATACACTAACCCTAAGGTCCTATTTATAGTGCATAGGACTTAGGTTACAATAGGAATCCTAATAGGAAATAAATCCAAATCCTAATCAAATAGGTAATTAACAAAATCTCTCCACCAAGGAAACTAACTAAGAAGTCAAAACCAAACCCAAATAGGACACCAAAACCAAATAGGTAACACAAACCTAATTTATTGCATCATCCTAATTTTGAGCCAAAAACCCAACAATTTATACTTCCTCATGTAAAATGTCATGTAAGAAGACATATTTGACATCTAATTGCCTAAGAGACCAATTGAAATGAGCAACTAGTGCCAACACTAATCTCATTGTCATAGGCTTGACTTTAGGACTAAAAGTCTCACTATAGTCTAATCTAGGTTCTTGACTAAAGCCTTTGGTCACTATTCTGGCCTTATGTCTAGCAATTGTACCATCTGAGTGTCTCTTGATCTTTAAAAATCTATTTGAACCCCCACCAAGTTTTTATTTGCAGGTAAAGAAACTAAACTCCAAGTACCTTGAGCATGTAGTGCATCAACCTCATCCTTTATGGCATTTAACCACACATGAACCTTTATAGCTGATTTTTAGGTTGCTGGTTTAACTAAAGACAATAAGCTCCCCCAAACTCTTGTAAAGTAACCACCAAGTCTTTTTTCTTTATAGTCCATCTCTTACTTCTAGTCTGAATTGGATGCAGATTGAGTGGAAGAATGGACAACACCACTTAAAGAGTGTTATAAGTAAACTCATGTGCTACTTGAGGAATATCAGGACTAAGATCGGGTGCCATGTGGAAATGAGAAGAGGAGTCTGATGTACAGTAATGGGTTGGAGATTTGTGTCTATGAATGATTGAGATGATGATGATTCTGGAGTAATAACTACTAGAGTAAAGGAATGATGAAAAAATGATGCTACATTAGTGCGAGCATCAATGGATTGAGGTGTGGAACTAGACAATGGTGATACTATAACTATAGATATATAGATATATAACAAAATGCAGTTGGTAAAACATGAGGTGAATATGTGGTTCTGGAATGTGTCAATAAGTCTGTGTATGGAAACTCATGCTCATTAAACACATGTCTAGAAAAATAGAGTTTCTTCTTAGACATTTCATAACATAATATATCTTAAATGTCATGCCTCGATCCCGAGATACGCTCAGAATCAACACGTAACAGTAGGATAGTAGCAGTACAATATAGAATACATAGAGTCACTGAGACTCATACATATAATAAACATAGAGTCACTGAGACCCAAACTGAAATTTATGTAATGACATTTCTGGTTGTTGAGAATGAATCTGATGAGATGACAAATATGGCTGCTGAGACTGAATATGGTAACTAGGCATTGTATGTAAAGGAATAAAGGGAGAAGATGCCATATGACAATAGTTTGAATTAAAAGACCCAATGTAGTTAGACCCCTTATTATTGTAAAAACAAATCCAAGTGCCATGGTTGTTCTTGCCAAAGATTTGACAGTTAGGTCTATCTAGAGGTTCAAAACTACAATATGATGCAGTGTAAATCATCATTCTCTGCAGAAGTATAAGAATTGTTGATGCATAAAACCGGAGGTCTTGGTACAACGCAAATCCGACCATGAATCTGCATGAAATGTAAATAACACAAGATGTATCGTGGTTCACCCTAAGGTTTGGGCTACGTCCACACTGATTATATTTATCTAAGAGTATTTGTGAGGGAGAAAGTGTGAATGCTTTGCTCTAGAAAGGAGAGACTTAGGGTTTGTGAGGGTGTGGAGGCCCTTTTATAGAATAAAGGCTCCTCCCCTAATTACATATTTGCCCCTTCCTTTATTACATAATTACATTTAAGTCCCCCAAGTATTTATACGAGGTCTAAATATGAGGCCCTAAATATAGTATAAACAGTAGTCCCCTAAGTCTTCAGTCAAGAGAGTCTTTTGGCTGGAGACTTGAAATTCAGTCTATGTGTAGGCCGAAGTAACTAGATGCTGGCTTGAACTAATGCTCGATATAAGGCAGTGCTCAATCTAAAATGACGCTTAACTAGAAGTAGCACACGCTGCGAGGCTGCTCGGCTAATGGCTTATGTTGCCTTGGTTGGCTCGGCTTGCGACGTTTGAAGGTGAGGAAGTCCCTTTTATAGAACAAGGGCTCACTCCTCAATACATAAGTGATGGGTTAGGAGTGATGCTCGCGGCGAGGCGGTTGCTCAGCTAGCGGCGTTGCTCTCTAATGATGGTAGGGAGTCCCTTTTATAAGGGCTTGCTCCTCAGTACATGACCAATGGGTGTTCTCTAATGAAAGTGAGAGAGTCAATTTTATAGAATAAGCGCTCACTCCTCAATACATAAGTAATGGGCTAAGTCCCCCA